AATGCACATACTAGTGTACACCTATGTTAAAGCTACGATACCATAGTGTACACCTATGTTAATGTACGATACCATAGTGTACACCTAATGTTAATGCACGATACATAGTGTACACCTATGTTAACGCATCATACCGAGTGTACACCTATATTAATGCATCATACCTAGTGTACACCTATGTTAATGCACGATACCTAGTGTACACCTACGTTAATGCACGATACATAGTGTACACCTATGTTAATGCACGATACCTAGTGTAAACCTATGTTAACGCATCATACCTAGTGTACACCTATGTTAATGCACAATACCTAGTGTACACCTATGTTAACGCATCATACCTAGTGTACACCATATGTTAATGTACGATACCTAGTGTACACCTATGTTAATGCACGATACCTAGTGTACACCTATGTTAATGCACGATACCGAGTGTACACCTATATTAATGCATCATACCTAGTGTACACCTACGTTAATGCATCATACCTAGTGTACACCTATGTTAATGCACGATACCTAGTGTACACCAACGTTAACACATGATACCTAGTGTACACCAACGTTAACGGGTGATAGCTAGTGTAAACCAACGTTAACGCATGATACGAAGTGTACACCAATGTTAACGAATGATACCTAGTGTACACCAACGCTAATGGATGATACCCAGGTGTACACCAACGTTAACACATGATACCCAGGTGTACACCAACGTTAACGAATGATACCTAGTGTACACCAACGTTAACGAATGATACCTAGTGTACACCAACGTTAACGCATGATATATAGTGTATACCAACGTTAATGCATAATACGTAATACCGTTGAGGCACCATGTAATGTAAACATGTGTTACGTATGCTATATAAAATAATATAATAATAATAATAATAATATAATATAACAATGCGTAATGTGCACCCGTGTTAACGCTTGATACATAATGTATATCCGTGTTAACGCGTGCTACGCAATGTGCAACTGGGCTAACGCGTGATACGTTTTGTGCACCCGTGTTAACTCATAATACGTTATGTGTACCCGTGTTAACTCATAATACGTTATGTGCACCCGTGGTAACTCATAATAAGTTATGTGTACCCGTGTTAACTCATAATACGTTATGTGCACCCGTGTTAACTCATAATACGTAATACGTACCCGTGTTAACGCGTGATACGTTATGTGCACCCGATTTAACTCATAATAAGTTATGTACACCCGATTTAACTCATAATACGTAATACGTACCCGTGTTAACGCGTGATGCCTAATTTGCACCTGAGTTAACGCGTGATACGTTATGTTCACCCGTGTTAACTCATAATACGTTATGTTCACCCGTGTTAACTCATAATACGTTATGTGCACCCGATTCAACTCATAATACGTAATACGTACCCGTATTGACGCGTGATGCCTAATTTACACCTGAGTTAACGCGTGATACGTTTCGTGCTCCCGTATTAACTGATAATACGTTATGTGCACCCGTGTTAACTCATAATACGCTATGTTCACCCGCGTTAACTCATAATACGTTATGTGCACCCGATTTAACTCATAATACGTAATACGTACCCGTGCTAACGCGTGATGCCTAATTTGCACCTGAGTTAACGCGTGATACGTTATGTGCACCGTATTAACTCATAATACGCTATGTGCACCCGTGTTAACTCATAATACGTTATGTGCACCCGTGTTAAATCATAATACGTTATGTGCACCCGTGTTAACTCATAATACGTTATGTGCACCCGTGTTAAATCATAATACGTTATGTGCACCCGTGTTAAATCATAATACGTTATGTGCACCCGTGTTAACTCATAATACGTAATGTGCACCCGTGTTAACAAGTGATGAACCTGTCAGACAACAGCGCTTTTTTTAAAATTTAGAATAACTTTTACTTTCAATGAGAACAAAGATTTCCGCCTCTTTGAATTTGCAATTTATGCTTAATGGCATAATGAGTAATTGCCAAACAATTGAAATGTCTGATTATGTTATTTCTTCATCTTTTTTTAAAAAAAACATGCTGCCACTTAACAGTTTTAAAATCATAATTTTAGTTTTGTCCTTGTACACAATGAGAAATGGTCTCGACAATGTTGTAATCTTATTGTGGTTTCTGACAGTGCAATGGAATTTATTTCTAGCGGACTATCAATATGTGGGTCGCAGATATAGGACAAGTCACGCAGTTGCACACAGTCCATCAACAAGGGAGGGGTGTTGGTTACAGTGAGTCAATGCATTCGCTAATTGTTTGCAGCAGTATAGGGACTCAGATACTGGTCATCATAAAAGCTTCAACACGAACGAACTGCCACGATGACATCTGTTCTACAAGATTAATGTTGAGCAGGTGTAAGCAGGTGTTCGTGGAATGGTGACAGGGTGTTCCGGGTGTAGAACTGTTTGCTACGTTGCTCGTTGCGCAATTTTTATACATATCCCATAATTCCATAATTATATAGTTGTTATTGGGCGTTAAAACGGGAGAACGTTTATGTAAATTACAAATGTAAAAATATGATGTAATCCATGCATGACTATACAATCTGTGTATCCAGATACATAGTATGTGTCATACTAATGATATTAGGTAATTATGTTACATTGTCGTAGTTTGCAAAGTACGATGTAAAAGTTTAATCGTCAGAATTGGTATTTGGAGTAATCTGAAAGGTGGGCGGAGGCCCGTCAAGTGTCAGATATTATGAAGGCAATGTGATTCAACAGTGTTCGCTGTCAGGTTTTGCTAATATCGCAAGGCATTGCCGTTGAGGGCGCAACAACTATCAAGCGTACACCGTGACGGCGGTCGATAATTTAATCAATTTCGACGCACATTTCATTAATTCTATATAAGCTCGACTAATTATCTTAACAGGAACTAAAGTATATATTATATATGTGTAAACGTTTGGATAAAGAGTGGAACCTAGAATTGACGTCATACCGGGGGTGGCCAACTATTAATGCGTCATGGATTTATTCAGTAATTCCATGGACTATAACGTATATTGTATCCATCTCATCATTCGGTTTGCTCAACCCGTGTACGTGAGGCAATCGTCTGATACTATTGTTTACATTAATAATTAGTATTTTTTTCTATTCTAATTTTAATTCATTGAATAAATGTTCTGTGAGACTATGCTAAACTGTATTGTGTTCGACATAGAAAAATTGCTCCAGCGTTAAAAAGCTGTGGATGTCATCATGATACATTCACAGCAGCGTTTTGGGCAATTTTAGTTGACAATTCTGGGCCATGAAAAATGTCATAATAATATACATACATATAAACTTGCTGGAACATTGAGCTAATCTATGTGTCACCTAAATTTAGTTTATGACGGCAATGTACTTTGAGGGGCGTTTGTCTGTGTAATACGTGTACATCTGTTTTTATATTACGACGTCGTACGCTTAGTAACCGTGCCTTGAGTTACAATTGTGAACAAGATACTAGTGATGTTGCTTGACTGAAAACTGATCATAAATAAGTTCGCCCAAAATGTTATCACAACTCCCTTTGATACATGTAGCTAGTTACTATCACGAACCACAATTTTCTAAAAATTACAAATCTATCAAGTTTATTTCTAGACATGAGGGCTAATCCTGTGGCATCCTGACTTGATTGTGTCTGATACACAGGGGATATATATATATATATATAACAAGGCAATTAAGTCTCATGAATATATTATTATCACTTCTTAACTATAACGGGTTCTATTCGGTGCGGTGATTTATAACATATCAGTTCAACTGATTAATGTCAATATTGTCAACTATTATCATTGTTAATTTCTTTGCTCCAGTGAACACTAAAAGTACATTGTATTTTTATTTCATCATTGATTCTTCATGTTGGTATTGTGTCGTCGTGCTCATTGTGTCTGGGCGTTTCATGAAAGAATAAGTTTCGTGTATCTATTTAGTTTGCATCTTTTATTGAACACTGTACTTCTTTAAGAAGTTGAATTTTTGATAAGTTTAAATAGATTTGATTAGTTGTTATAATGTCAGTTGAGTGCCTTTCTGATTCGCAGTCGATTTCTGGTACACCATAAATCAACAACAGTTTAAATGTACATCTTCAAGTTCAATCACAGATTCTTCACTACAGACATCACCAATGTAGACATGTATTTGTCTTATCATCTTTTCGAACCTCAGTTTTACTATTAGATTTATTTTAAAAAACACTCATAATTTGTGTATTCAATAATTTCATTTAGATAAGTTATCAAGAATTTGATTTCCAGTGAAATACATCAACGTATATGAGACACTTATCCGTAACTAGCCGTGCATAATATGTTGTTGTTTTCAAGTCGTTGATACATGCGATAAGTGCTGCTTTTACAGTGTGACACTTGTTGTACATTGCGGTATATATAGTTGTAGATGACAGGTTTTCAGGTTTGCTACATATTTTTACTAGAACCAAATTCGCTGTTAAACACAATACCATATTATTTTCATCAACTGACGCTGTTACCCCAGTATTTAATATAATAATAACTAAAATATGCAACAAGAAATTTCCTCTAGTAACTTGAAGGTTTATTATAGCCTATAATATCTAATCGTGTTTGCATGTTCGGATATCATGTATTTGAAGCATAATTATAATTACGTAGTTTGTTTATTCCAGTAACGGTGTTTATCTCAATTTACACAATCAATGAGATGCATCATGGGTATGCCACCATACCCAGTAAGCTTGAGGTTCAAATGTTCAACTTTAAACTTTTAGTGTGAAAAATAACAGTGTCCCAATCTCCGAATTTCTATTCGTTGTCGTACTTTGGTTGATTCGGTGATAATATTGACTCACGCTACAAGGTATTTACCTAATTTTATTAAAATCAGATGTTGTTCGATTAGTATTTTCATACATTATTTTATTCTCACTGTATTTGTTTATTATTTCTGTATTTGTTTATTATTTCTGTATTTGTTTTAGCTATTACACATATCTTATCGTGATATTGTTTTATGTTATTTTCAACTATCGGTTTCGCGTTACCAATACTTAAAAAAAACGAATGACGAATACAATAGAAAGAAAATAAGAAATAAGAAAACATAATAAATAAAAACATTAAGCTCAAACATATTTGAGTCACGTTGGTAAAGCCCGGTGGTAAAGCTCGCTAATAGTTGTATGTGGGCAATGCATCCAGTTCCTGGCTTTAATGTGGAGACGACGTTTTAGGCTAAAATTGACTACTAGCACAAGAGTGGGCCATAGTCGATTGGTATTGCAGTGCCGAATAGTGATACTAATACATTGATGGATGCAGGTGTTCGGAGGGTGGGTGGCTTTACAATGAGAGTATAGTGTAGACAATACGAGTATTCGAGATGTACAAGTATATCGCCCTCTTGTGTCCTGTTTTTATTTTTTTTCATTAACTTAGGGAGCCCAAAACACTTTCAACATGGCAGCGATGGCGGAAGGACGTATGAATTTAGCTGCATTGCAGCAACAAGATCCCTATATCACAGACATAGTCGAGACTGCCTCGCAAGTTGCCCTATACACTTTTAACGCAGGAGCTAACGAGTGGGTAAGTGTGACACAAACGACAACACACCAGTCTCATGTTTACTTGTGAAAAAACACCGAATGACTCAAACGTGGCTCGCGGTTCATCTACTAGTATTTTTTGCCAGTTTTGGTTGCGCGTTTCAATCGAAACTTAAATAGCGGTTCTCCGATCAACGCATAAGTTTTAGTTAGGTCTTTTGTGTAACAGTACACAGTATTGGCTGAGATTCCTGTGTATACATAACTGCTAGTCGTACGCTTTGTTATTTCTTGGATATACCTTGAACGAACCCCTGACAAGTAACTCTTTGTTGATAACCACAAACAACACAGCGCCCCCACCGAGTTACTTTAATACTTCTTTTGAAAATAAAATAAACGGTGAGGACCAACTAGAGATTCTTAAACTTAAACTTATACTTGTGTTTTAACATTTGTATAAAATCTGAACTAGTTTTGTATGACCTTGACTTTTAAAATGACAAAATCTACACAACTGATTCGCAATTTCCAGTCAGAAATTAGTGTCACTCTAGAATCATGTAAGCTGGCATGGTATATTTGTATGTGTATCTCCCATAGAGGGAGTAAACTAGCATGGTATATTTGTATGTGTATCTCTCATAGAGGGAGTAAACTAGTGCAGTATAGCAGTATGTTTTGAAACTATATTGTGATGGCACTGTTCTTCTTATTTTTCAAATTGATGTTGAGTTAATTAGTCCCTGTTCGGACGCAGTCCAAAAATGGGGACTTATGTTTTGACCCTTGTGCATCTGTGCTTCCCGTGCGTGGAAATGCCTGGATGAATCATAATCAAACTTCACACATACATCATACAAGATATTATACATATGCACATCAATTTGTTTCACAATCTGATTCAAAATGGCCGAATGGTGGCCATTTTTGTGCTAAAAAAAATCATCAAAATCAAGCATTTCTCGGCTGTTTACATATGGATTTTGTTCAAACTTGGTTTATAGATTAGACATTATGGGACCTTGATGCAAACAATTTTATTTTTCAGATTGGATGCAAAATGGCTGACTGGTGGCCATTTTGTTTTAATGAATGGGCTTCTACTAAAACTGATTATGTTCAAATTTTTGCTTTGACTGATTATATTCAAATTTTTAATATTCATTATACATCATGTCATAGATATACAGATATATTGGTTTGACGATCCTCTTTAAAATGGACGAATGGTGGCCATTTTTGTGCTATAAAAATCATCAAATATCAAGCATTTCTGGCATTTATGGATGGATTTCGTTCAAACTTAGTACATACATTAGACATTACGGGTTCCTGATGCATATCATTTTATTTTTCAGATCGGATTTAATGATTGGGCTTCTAGAGCCTTATCTCTGACATGCTTTGACTGATTATGTTCAAATTTGATATATTCGTTATAAATCATGTTATAGATATATACATGTATTCAAAATGGTTGATTTTGTTTTAATTAATGCTGCTCCCTGCCAATATCCCCCAACATGACAAGTACTTGTTTGACGATCAGATACAAATGTCAATCATTTTAATGTTAAACAATCATCCTAATCATATTCCTGACATGGTTATATTCCAGCTATATTACTATAAACAAAACTATATATCTTAAATTTGATAACTAACTGGGACTGTGCCATGCCTGGCTTGTTAAAAAAAATGTTTGATGTATACACTGATGTATTCACAAGTACAAGGTTTATGGGATGTACATTTGTAGAAACAGAAATTAAGATCTAATAAAGACTGTGCTCCAGACAGTCAATTTTGTCATTACCATGAAGTCTGTTGTATTGTCACTCATTGTTACTTTCTACCTACAATGTACACTTGTGTGTACTTTTCCACTCACATCTCTGTATTGATAGATTGTGTCTGTTGCTGCTAATATGACCTATGGAATGTTTTGTTGTTGCTCTATTCTGTATCTACATTGTATTTATCCACAGTCCTTTTTTGA